GAACCATACACCGCCATATGCTATGTCTTTTGTGCATCCCCACTTGAAGTATTCGTAAGAAAACAAAAACAAAAAAACGAGAGAGCCACGGGCATCTTCATCCTGACCCATAACTGCCGACCCGGGGACCTGAACGCCAATCTTCAGCATATATTGGTGGTCGGCTGGCAATGGAACATGTAATTTGTGAATTCTGTGAAATTTTGCGGGGCAGGTCGTTAGTAGGCGTCTACCCCTTCTTGCGAACTCACCCCACTACTATGTGGGATTTGCAGAAGGCAGTGGGAAAGACAGCTTTCATACCCCACCTAAAACAAAAGTTGGAATGATCCCTATTTTGTGCCTCGCTATTCTGAAACTTTTGGGGGAAGGGCCTGCGGAAATTGAAATTTCGGCAGCCCTTACCCAAAAGAAAAGTTTGGGCCGTGGGCGCGGTTGGTTTGCGAGCTTGCGTGGTGAGTTTAACATTTTTACTGAGTTGGGGGCCCTAAGAAATTACGAAACCCCTACTTTTTTTTCTTTTTTTTTTTTGGACCTAATTTTTCAAGTGCGCTGCGCTTTGGTGCACTGTGCGGTGCGCTGCGCATGGTTCGCAATTCGTGCGCAAATCCGCGCACCGAGGTGCGCCGCAACTATGGAGAATTTACAAATAAAGTTTGGAAAAATAATAATTTTTTTCATGCCCCGAAATAAAGGAAAAACAAAAAGGTGAAAAGAGAGAAAAAAACAAATTAGTGAGTGGGCAAGCAAGTTTAGACACCACCATCTTTGAGGATTTTTCTTTTTTTTTTGGCTGAACAGAGTGGCTTCAAAATTAAGAGGGAGATACCTTACATCACAAAGAACTCACAAAAAAAAATTCAGAAAAAATAATAATATTTAGGTGTCAAAATAATTTTATGCAGGGTCCGAACCCCTTCAAGTTCGGGCCCCGTACAGGGACCTGAACGCCCGAATGTTCAGGGGTCAGCTTAGGGGCCTCTGTACGTTCGGCCTGGCAACCCTGTATATATATATTTAAAAAATATATATATTATATTTTCTATTCCGAATTTGGTGAAGAATTTCGATGTGACCCTGAGGCAAAAGTTGTTTAGTTTCTTTTCTGCATAACTGTCATAACATAGTTTTTTTTCTTCTTCTTCTTTTTTTTTTTTTTTTTTTTTTTTTTTTTTGCTGGGACCTT